TTGTACTTGGCAGCTTCTGAAACTACAAAATCAAGTGCCTGCATATGCAACAATCCAAGCAAAATTTGTTCTTAGTTGTGTAATCCTGTTTGTTTATAAGTTGTATATAATGATGATATGACATAAATTCTTTTACTTTGATTATAACTACATTACCTGAAACACATATTCATTGTAAACTCCGGGCGATATCTGAAGAGCTTGATCTCCTCCATCACTGAAAGCCCACGTTCGGCACACAGTGAGACCAGCATTTGCAGCCTCTCGGAATACATTCGACACTTTCTCCCTTTGGTTTGGCTGTGATGAAACGTGCATCATCCAATAAGCGTTGAACCCATTGAATATAAAAGGGGAATCGTCTAACACAAACTGTGCCCCCTTCGTCTGAACAAATCCTGAATAGGCCACCAAACTCATTCTCGGCTCAAACACTAGAAAGAGCAAAGAGAGTAGTAGACCAACTCTTGTCAAGGAATTAGCCATATTGATCGATCGATATGAGTGTTATAGAGATACCTATGAGTGTTATTTATAGCTTATCTTTTGAAGGAAAGTTAAGCTTAAGGCCATATTTTTTAATTTATTTTTTGGCAGGAAACATGGAAGCAATTGAGCAGAATTTCATGTGATCTGTAAATGAGAATTACATGTGGGATTGTCTAATGTATATCAAATTGGTGTGAATAAAGAAATATTAAACTGTGGATTGATTGTGAAATCATTAGTATAAAGAAAAGTGATATGTGAAGAAAGATGATATGATATGTGAGAGGATGCAGCAGCAGATGTGAGAAATTTATTAGATCTAACAGAAAATCTTAAAATGTGCATGAAAAAAGAGAGAGTGGTGCTTAAAATGGAGAATATATTATTATTATTATTATAATTAATATATATATGTGATTGGTTGAGTACTGCATGTGGAGTTAGTTAGTTACTTGACATGCAATATGAATAAGTTCCCTTGGACACCAACATATATATTACTCATCTGATCATATTGGCAATAATGTATACTATATTACAACTTTTTTTTTTTTT